ACAAAGTACTTGACCATTCATCATCTGAAAAAACATGAATAACATCTGATTGTCTAATTTTATTTTAGACAGAGATGAAGAATCTGACATTATAATAAATGAGACAATAGTTTTATATATGTTGTAGACAGCAAGATTTGATCAATCTCTTGTTTAAGAGGTGCATGGGGGGAGTACAAAATGTATTTCTTATAAATTCACGAGTCGACAAATACCTAAAGAATTGAGTTTTTAAGAGAATTTTTCTGAGATATGAAAATGTTACAAAAGTGTTCTCATGAAAGACATTATTAGTATTTACAATGGCTCTTCCAAACCATAATGTAAATGCTAAATCTGATATAGAAGACAAAAAAGTATTTTTATATATAGGAATACATTGTTTTAAAAATTTTAAACTATGTAAAACTAGGGGGTTAGAAGAAAAACAAGAAAATGCAAGATATATATATATATATATATATATATATATATATATATATATATATATATATATATATATATATATATATATATATATATATATATATATATATATATATATATATATATATATATATATATATATATATATATATATATATATATATATATATATATATATATATATATATATATATATATATATATATATATATATATATATATATATATATATACACATATATATATATATATATATATATATATATATATATATATATATATATATATATATATATATATATATATATATATATATATATATATATATATATATACATACATACATACATAAACACATACATACATATATACGCAATGTCAAAAACAAACAAAATAAACTGAACTATACAAAAAAGAACAATGATCAGAATATATATATATATATATATATATATATATATATATATATACACATACATACATAAACACATACATACATACATATATATATATATATATATATATATATATATATACATACATACATACATACATACATATATATATATATATATATATATATATATATATATATATATATATACACACACATACATACATAAACACATACATACATACATACATATATATATATATATATATATATATATATATATATATATATATATATACATACATACATACATACATAAACACATACATACATATATACGCAATGTCAAAAACAAACAAAATAAACTGAACTATACAAAAAAGAACAATGATCAGAATATATATATATATATATATATACACATACATACATAAACACATACATACATACATACATATATATATATATATATACATACATACATACATACATATATATATATATATATATATATATATATATATATATATGGGTCGCTGGTTCGAACCTCAGCTCAGTTGGCGTTTCTGTGTGGAATTTGCATGTTCTCCCTGCCTTCGCGTGGGTTTCCTCCGGGTGCTCCGGTTTCCCCCACAGTCCAAAGACATGCGGTACAGGTGAATGGGGAAGGCTAAATTGTCCGTAGTGTATGAGTGTGTGTGTGAATGTGTGTGTAGATGTTTCCCAGAGATGGGTTGCGGCTGGAAGGGCATCCGCTGCATAAAAACTTGCTGGATAAGTTGGCGGTTCAGTCCACTGTGGCGACCCCGGATTACTAAAGGGACTAAGTCGACAAGAAAATGAATGAATAATAATAATGGTAATAATATTAACAATAATGGCGGTTCATACTGCTGTGGCGACCCCAGATTAACAAAGAGCCGAAACTAAAAAAAATGAATAATAATAAAAACAACAACAACATCTAAACGTGCCAATCTAGTTGGTATTTCTTTTAAATACAACTAATTTTGTCTTAAACGAGCATAAGCAGTTAGGAAAGCGATCAAATGCTTTCATTAAAGATCTGAGCATTTTTAAAGTGACACCGGCAGCTTTCACATGTGGTCTCCCATCCAGGTACTGACCAGGAACAGCCCTGCTTAGCTTCAGTGGGCAACCGTGTGCAGAGAGCTAGCTGCCAGCTATTTATTTTATATATAACACCTTCAAAATGAATGTTGTTTGCTCTAATATTTATCTTAGATTGTCTTTCAGTTTTAGGCTAAATCAGGTTTTGTAAAATAAATTTTTTATAGCGTATAATAAAATATCAATGTATTGTTTTATTATTGTCATAAACTTTAAGGCACTTCAAGAGTTTACACTCAGCTGATGATTTATCATACGCTTGTTTGGCATGCTGTCCCGAAGAGAGCGCGGGACAGTAAGGACCAGGGCCGGCAGTGTTCTTGCTGTGGGGCTAATAGTGCTAACCACTGGGCCGCCGTGCCGCATAATCTACGAGGAGAAAAGGAGGAGAAGGGGGAGGAAGGGGGGTTTCTTCCAGACAAAGGTAAACATTAAATGAAGACTGTGGTTATTTATAGTAACTTTGGAATCTTTTAATTGGGGAATCGTGATTAGCTAATGCGAGACCGGCTGTGGTAAATCGTAAACACGCGATCCACTCGAAATCAGTTTATAAATAAACTTCGCATGATGAGTGTTGAATTACTCTGTGTTGACAGGTGTCTTCTTAAAAATGAGACCATGCTTAAATCTGTGCACCAAAGCGTTGAAGACTGGCAATCATGAAAGTTGATGTGATTTTAGGACCGCTTTTAAAACTGCCACAGCAAAAAAAAAAACTAAATAAATAGTGTCAACTATTTAACCCAGTTTATATATTCCCGGTTTTAATAACGTTCATTCATTCATTTTGTTTTCGGCCCCTTTATTAATCCAGGGCCGCCACAGCCAAATGAACCACCAATTTATCCAGCACATTGTTTTGCGCAGCAAACGCCCTTCCAGCTGCAACCCATCTCTGGGAAACATCCATACACACTCATACACTACAGACAATTTAGCCTACCCAATTCACCTCCACCACATGTCTTCGGAGGAAACCAGAGCACCCGGAGGAAACCCACACAAACACAGGGAGAACATGCAAACTCCACACAGAAACGCCAACTGACCCGGCCAAGGCTCGAACCAGCGACCTTCTTGCTGTGAGGCAACAGCACTACCTACTGCGCCACTGCGTCGCTGTTTTCATAACACCTTTTTAATGTTTAAGATGCAGATATGAAGCAAGATAACCCTGGATCTGTTAACCGAGAGATTAGAATGACCCGGGGTTGATTATTTCAAAAGGAACAACCGAATATGCCTAAATATCTGCATACAGTACCTGTGGTCAGTGCTGCTGGCGTGGTGTAGGCTGGTATAACGTTGGAGTCGTTGAAACTGTATATGAAAAGAAAACAAGGTTAAAACCTCACTTTACTGCCATATATTATATATATATATATATATATATATATATATATATATATATATATATATATATATATATATATTACTGCCACATTGACATAACAATAACAAGCAATCTGATTTAACA